CCCTTGGCGTACACCCCCCCCCCCTGGGCATCATCGCAGCCAATCGCCAGCCGGCCACGCCGCTACCCCCCTGCTCTGCCTAAACCAACCCGTAATCGCACGCGCTGGGGCCGTGTCGCCTCGCCGGCCACGCGCCGCATCAGGCACCGCCTTCTCACTCCGCCCTCCCTCTGCCCGCCGCGACCGCCGCTGCCGCAGGTCCTGGGCTGCACCGCCCCCGTTGTGCCCGCCGGCTTGTTTGACGCCATCGTGTTTGTTGCGGACGGGCGGTTCCATCTGGAAGCCATTATGATTGCAAACCCGACAATACCTGCATATAGGTGCGCCGAACGGGGGTCGGAATGATGCTTGCCTTTTGTTGGACGTCGCAGCACATGTGGCGGGGCTGCACGTGAGGGACTGAGTTCACTGTGTACGTGCATGCGCGTGTGTCTGTGCGCATGTGTGCGTGTGTGCGTGTGTGTGTCTGTGCGTGTGCGTGTGCGTGTGTGTGTGTGTGTGTGTGTGTGTGCGTGCATTCGTGGGTCACACTGCATGCTGAGATGTTTGGTGCGCTCGGGGCCGACTGATGAATATGTTATCGCAAACTTCTATCCTGAAGCCCAACCAAGGGCCTGATTATACACAAAACATTTGGCTGTGGTTCTGACGGCTGCCCGGCATCAAAGAATGCTAGCTCGCTCGATCATCTCTGTCTGAATTTGGCTTATGTCTGTGTATCTGTGCATGTGTTTGTGCATGTGTGTGTGTGAGTGGGGGATAAATAATGGGAAGGCACGCAAGGGTGTGGATATGCATGCAAGCACTCGCACCGTCGCCCCACCTGGCACAGCGACCAGGAACCTTGAAACATGGCCGAGCCCGCGCGTCAGCCCAGTCTCGGCCTTCCCGCGTTGAACCAACGCACCGCCCTTGTACCGGCGCCTTGTGGCACCCCAACCCAACTCCCCAGGTATGACCCCTACGGCCGCCACCTGCTGGCAGAAACGTACGACCAATCCGGCATGCGCGCCGCCCGCCGCAAGGCGATCGCCGCGGCGGCGTCGGCGCGCCGCTGGGGCGTCGTGCTGGGCACGCTGGGGCGCCAGGGGAACCCGCGGATCGTGCAGCTGCTCGAGGAGAAGCTGCTGCAGAGGGGGCTGCAGTACACGCTGGTGCTGCTGTCCGAGGTGGGCGTGTGAGGGGGCACGGCCGCATGGGTGAAGCGGTACAGACGGAGAAGAGTGCTGCTGGCAGCATTTCTATGGTCGATTTGGTTGGTCAAATAGCATCCTCGACTGGCGTCGTCATGGGCAACCAGGAGGATCCGTCGCAGTCTGGGCGTGCAAGCCGCATGCCGCGTCTGTTCATTTCCTGCGGGGTTGGCTGCGCTTCAAGGCATTCCTAGCAGCGCCCCCCAGGGCGCGAGCGACCATCCTCGTGACGCTTCGGCCGCCCCCCTTGCTGCGCGCACGCGCACGCTCCGCAGCTCTCGCCCCAGAAGCTCCAATCCCTGGGGAAGCACCACGTTGACGCTTGGGTGCAGGTGGGGGCTCTGGGCCGGCAACCGGCCGCCAACGCAACACCTCCCGCAGCCACCGCCACCATCAAAGGGACGCCACCTGCCCAGCCCAGCCCCCGGGGTGGCCCCTCGGCACACCGGGAGGCCCAGCCCTGGCCCCCCCACGCCACGCTTTCCCCTGCCATGTGATC